TTATAGCAGTGTCGCCAACTTGGTTAGGGGTAGTACTGCAGTGTTAGTAAGGGAGAATCTTTCTTTTCGCCAATTCCTTTTTTTACAAGCAAAATGATACAGCTTCAATATTAATAGCCGCAAATTTGATTAGAACCCTTTTCCGAACAACAAAAGTTACATGAAGAGGAAACCAGCATAAGAATTACCCAGAAATGGAAGATGATAATATCATATAACGCCGAAAAAGCCAGTAGTAATTAGAATTAATCTAGATGCGGAAGTTTAGTGATCCTAACTGGGAAAGGGTTTATATGAGATACTTTGCGAATTTTCTATGTTCCCTTGGCTGAATACTTTTTTCCTTTGAGCAGTCTTTCCTAAGCAAAGATATAAATTTTGATGAAAAAGCAGTAACTCACGGATTAGTTGGTGAAGGGGTTTGAGCGAGGGAAGAGAGTGAACGGATAAGCAATGTGAGCCATTCAACGCAATAAACAAAATGTTAGTATCAGCCGTATGTACTCACAAACCGTAAGGGCTATAACCAATGCTGGTGTAACGACTCATTCCTCCACAACCATAACCGCCATAGCGACCATAACAAGGGTTACCCATGTAAGCTCCTCCATAACCCATTGGAGAGTATCTAGAAGATTTCCGTTAAGTGACATCAGAATGAAAATACAATGAGAAGTCAATTGCTCCCGTACTAGCCACGCTCCAATAGCACAATTAATTTGCATGAAATCCAATTTGGGAATTATGCTATTGAGGATAATTCTTGAGAGGACAAAACAAGCACGAATGGCAGCGATGGCTAGTAAGAACAATGAACTTTGATTTATGTCGTTAAAAACAAGCCTCGGCCGTCCCCAGAAACCCATTGGTCGAGGAATCGGAGCTGGAGCATTGCCTACGCCAGTGTAAGGTTCATCTCCTGTTATGGATTTCAGCTCTGCCATACCCCCTCCTTGACATAGGATTGTAGGGAGAAAAATCGCTGAAAATTTTTAAACAGAAATCGATAAAAATAAGGCTAATTCGTCGTTTCGGTGGAGTTTTCAAGCACCAAAAAAATTGCTGCGCTTATCGGCTTCTTATTCGAAACTCCTGAACACTACCGAAATTGTGATGATTATTGTGCAAGCACGCAGTGAATGAGCAGAATCGAGCTCGCGC